ACTTATCAACAATATCTGTGCAATACATTGGTAATTTTGTACAACATAACTATTAGAAATGCTATTGATAATTTATAATAAAATCTTATTTTTTCAGTAATACTATTCTTATACAGTCGACCCCCCTATAATTACGGTCCCTATAGTTACGATTCCTATAAAACTACGAAAAAATTGCTACCGGTATCCGTAAAAAATAGTAAAAGTTCCCTATAAACACCTCAAACGTCATGGGGAAGCCGAACTACTTTCCCGCCGTCCGTAGCGCCACGCTACGGAGAGATTTCTATCGTCTGGACAGTATTATATAAATTATATATAAATTAGGTACTGTACATATAATTATATATTAATTATATATAAATTAGGTACTGTATATATAATTATATATTAACTTATTGTAACTTTGTTATAATTAAATATATAATTTCCGCCGTCTAGCGTGGCGCCACGCTACGGAGATTTTTACGCTAACTATCGTCTGTCAGTATGTAAATTAGGTACCGTAAGTCTAATACAGTACTGTAATTTTATACATTTCTTGTGAAAGAAACATTTCTTATTCAACGGCGATTAAAATTATTTATATTAATGATGTCTCCGAAGTTCTACGAAGTTTTCACAGAAAAATAAGTTGTTAGAAATCGGCCGCTCTTTGCTGAGCTGTTCCGCGACGAAAACAATGTTGAGCAATGGCAATGTCGAATGGTGACACTCGGTAAGTAATCCTACAATTTTTTGTTTATAGCGTAGTTTATACGGATTATTCCCAAAAAAAATATACGTATTTTGGAAATGTTGAGTAGAATTGGTCTAAAATCGATTAATTTTATGGAAGAAAACCTTTCAAACAGCTGTAGTCTGTAAACATAACACGTGTCGGGTTGTGATTGGAAGGATTCGTAAGAAAGCGGATTCCTAGAGAATGGAACGTATCTCTATCTTATAGGGGGGTCGACTGTATTAGTAAGGAAATAAAAGATTTAAATTTCAATTCTCAAAAGGAAATGAATTTAAATTTTACCTTTCCTTATCATTAATTACCATTATTGTTATACAATTTGTGTTTAGGCAATTTCTAATTTCTGAAATAATTATATAATATCTTAATATGTATAAAAATATAGACAGACTTTCAGACCTGACATTAATCTTTTTTACAATATTTTAAATACAGTAGAACCTGTTAAAGTTGACAACCATGGGAAAAGGTTAAAATAGTCAACATAGGTAGATAGTAAACTTAGGAATTTTGAATTTATGTTAAAATTATGCATTGGAAAATAATAAGTTAAAAGTGATATTTGGTATATACAAGTATTTAATTTTTGTTGAAGAACATTTCAATGTTTACTTAGTTAAAGTTATTAAGTTTACTTTTTAACATATAAATGTGAATGAAATGTTGCATTTGAAAAGACTGAAAGGTTTCCAGATATGTTATACTTAAATAAAACAGAACAGTTTTATAACAAGTATTTCCTATGGATGATAAAACAATTTCTTACTCATCTTTTTCATCATTACTTAACATTAATATTATGCAATAAATTTCTTCTCCAAAATAATTTCATTGATCAATTAATTGTATTAATAATAACTGATATAGATCCATCTTTTTACAAATGAATGAATATATCAGCTGTGACAATTTCAATATTCATTATTTCAATGCTTCAATATGCTTTCAAATGAGATGTCATCACAATCATCTTAGGAGTCAAATTGATATTGATTAATTTTTTTTCATTACTTAAATCAGCTTTCTTTTAAAATATTTGATGATGCAAAATGATTTTACTTCATTCTATGCTCATTTGATCCAAAATAAGGTAATAAGCACTTTTTATTATTTTGTTGTACTTTAAGCAGTAGCAAACTAGTCAGATTTTTTCATGTGTTTTGATAAAGTGCTTTAAATACTTGTCACTCCTTTGAGTAAGAAGCTAAGGAAATGCTGTTACTTTTGGGGAAAAAATGTATAGTTATATGGAATACATTGATTTAGTTAATAATGAATAATAACAATTTTTTTGTCTTGAAACACGTACACTGAACCAATATAATGTGTGGTACGAACGACGAAACAAAAAACAAACGTTTTCGAACCTCTTCTAGGTTCTTCCTCAGGTTCCTTTAGCTTTTTAGCTCGTAAATTCGATATTTCAAATAACTTCATTCTTGCGATCGAACAGTTCTTTTTTAAAAGATGTGTCGCGCATGCCGTTCAAACTAACGACTGCCGTCAACGAAAGACATTAACGAATGTTGTTTAAATAATTTCTTTCTTAAGATCGAACATTTCTTTTAAATTATCCGTCACGCATGCGTGACATGTCCGCTTGCTCGGAAATAACGAGCAGTTAAAGCGTGTTATGTATCAACTCTTGCCAGGCCATCGACAAGATCATCTCCTCTTTAAAATTTATGCACGTGGTTTCGATAGAGGATTTAAAGATGTGCATC